GTATAATTCAGTTTAGTTGAAAGAATTATGGTATACTTAAGTATAGTGCTTGAAGTCTGTAACGAAACAGATCAGCCTAGTAAGTAGAGTTGCCTGTTTCTGATGAGTATACTGATTCAAATCAGTCTGATTAAAAATAGGAAAAAAGTGCTTTTGGTACTGTTGCTGTCATACATTATAAGCGATAAGTATGTTTGGTGTTTATTTCTAGATTGTACATCTATCACTGACCGTATTTCATGATCACTGTCATTAAACAATTTCCCCAGCAATAACATCTGTAGCAGGATAGCTAAGTGTGTGGGCTTTTATTTGCCCGCAGAAGAGCAGTATACAGTGTTAGAAGATAAGTGTTCTGTGTCAATTAAATGCAGTTGGCTGTGGACAAATGTTAAGAATCTTTTTGACAACTGGGACTCTTAGTTCATCAAACACTAAATCTGCTTGTATGTCTCCCTGTTAAACTAGATGCAGATAGATGGTAATACTTAAATGAGAGCAAAATAATAAAAGCATTGAGATACGGTATTAAGTCCATGTTATGCTTTGCACAATAAATAGCTGACCTGACCTAATATTCATGAACTCAAGGTAAATCGCAACTGCATAAATTCTTTGCTAAAAAAACATGTAATTTGTTTATTTATTTATTCCACATTTCCGACTAAATTTATCACTATTTTTTCATTCAGAATGCAACAGGAGTGAGCCTTCACAGATCCTAAGAACTGTTTCGCCCTTAGAACTATGGCTCTATGGATCTGTTTACGGGAGACCCAACTAACAGCAGATTATAAAAAGGATGCTGGATGTCCATTTTAATCTCACAACCACTTCCAGTACTTTTTGAGCTACTTCTTTTACCCTTTCGTTTGGAAAAAACAACAAGAAATGCAGCTTAACATTACAAATGCAACTTTCAGACTGGAACTTGGTTTAAACCTTTGTTTCATATTCGATTCTTAATGAACGTTCTTGAATAAATTTTTGAATCTAAGGCTACTTTGTTTTATCTACTTAATCGTTACAAGAAACTTGTGATAAGCGAGCCTCTCAGCACCTAGTTCATGTGTTCAAATGGTTGTGGACTGAGTAGATGCTTTCGCTCAACAGGCTTCCGTGTCTAGTAGCAGGCGATTACCAAAACCTCCTGGTAGGAACCTAGGTATATTAGCAATGAAAGAGGGAAAAGAAATTGGTAAATCATAATATGATTTTATCCTTAGGAATCTATCTAGTTGCCTCTTAAAGGACTCATGAGAAGTCGCATGGTCTAGCTCGGCGAGCAGCGAATTCCAGCATTTGACAACTCATAAGGAGTAGAAGTTGTGTCTACAGTCCATTCTGCTATGTTGTGTCTCCAGTTTCTGGGTGTTACCCCTTAGGTTAGTGTTGATACTAAGTTTAAGTAGGTGTTTAAGAGGATGCCCAGAAGTGTTAAAGATACTGTAAGTCATTAGAAGGTCACCTCTAAGACGTCTTTACTCTAATGGGTAGAGGTTAAGTAATTGGAGGCGTTCTTCATAAGGTGATTTGGTGCATATCTTCGTCATTCTCCTGGGAAACCTACAGACTCGGGTCCTTTCACAACTTATTCTAGCCACCGTGAGTTGCCACAGAAACTGATGGATGGACACGCGTTACACATCCTAACCGTCCCTGCGTCTAATCTCATAGCTTCTTATTCAAATGTCATATGATAAGCAAGTAATGCTTCTACCGACACTAATGGAACACGAGTAATTCAAAGGCACCCTGTATGGTACTTTACATTGGTCTACGCACTCACTTAGCTCTTTAGTGGGAATATTACTACGGTCCTGCTAAAAAACCAATGAACCCCCCTACCACCATCAAAACAATAAGTCTGTATTTGCTGCATATAGCAATTTTATTTTTCAGAAGATATAACAGTAAGAATTGGAGTAAAATAACAATATACAACAGATGCACGTGGTACATGTCTTCATCGATCATCTGAAATAGAGAATACGGATATTAGCTTAACATGCTTATTTAGAAAGACTAGTGTTTACTTTGAACTTACTGTGTGAGAAAGTTATACTGGAACTGTGAATAATGTAGGAATCTAGTCTCCCAGGGCGTACGAAGCACTCAAACTGGAAGACAGTTGTCACAAATTAATTCGAATATGAAGTTGAGAATTTGCAAGTACTTTTCATCGTAAAGGTGAACATATTAGATAACGGTTGACATCATACTGTAAAAATAACAAATTTGCAAGTGGTGAATTATGGTCTATAAAAAGGTGAGCTTAATAACAGTTAGTTACATTTTTAATCCCTGATCATGACCCTTCGGCTTCCTTTTGTGGCCGAAACAGCAAACATACACTACACACTGATAGCAGATTTCCGGCTTTTCAATGTTAAGCTTGCTTTAACGCACTACGTAATGCGTACAACCCCTCCATTACTGCTATGTGGCATATTTTTTCATAACAAACCATCTGCAATAGATTGGTAGCATCTGTGGTTGTCGGAAGCCTGGGTACTTTCGAAAACAATACTGACATCCCCTACTGCTAGGCACTAAGTATTAGTTTGACTCGTTGGTGGGATATTGTTGTCCGCAATACTGAAGAAAATTAAAAACCGGAAATTGTTTCCTTTCATTTTGCCGATAACATCATAAAGGACAGTTAGGAATGAACACGCGGACAGTTAGTCACAGGAGGCAGCAACAGTTATTTCAGCTAAGAAAAAACGAACTTCGGCTTTGGATATCTAGAAAACAAGTCAAAACAAAACCGATTTTCATTTTAAAACATAAGACTAACCAGCTTGACTGAAGAAATACATTGACTAGAGTAGAAGCAGCAAAAACCCAAAAAACAATGCTGATTCGAAGTAAATTTCACACCAACATGTATAACATTACACTAACTGCGGCATCTTAGCACATTGAAACATTAATTACATAGCTACACAAAAGAAATAGCTAAAAGAAGCACAGAGCGAAGATAGCCGACCGCCATTACTTACAAAGATGGCTGATATAATAATTCCCGCCACATTCTGATTGGTTGCTAAGCTGAAGGGCACATTTACGAAATTGAGTTGCGTTTAATTGCAGCCTCACTACGTGGAAACCATTTTCCAATATGCACATCATTGGGGGTGAGGACACCAGCGAAGACTAAGTTCAAGATATTTTGATTTCTGGTAGAGCTACTGACATACTGAGTCCACTGTCCACTAAAACATATGGTTAGCATCCAATGTCGAAAACTTACAGAGCTATATAGTTCGTGGATTTATTTACCGCTACCATATCATTCCCGAAATTAAAACAGGTCCTGAAGCAAATATTGAAAATTACCGGCCCATAAAAATAACTTCAAAGGTATCTAGAGTGATGAAAAAAGTAGTTAAGGTGGCGGCTGTATGTCAACCCATTCGAATTAGAAGTCAGAAATGAAGGAGCTCTAAAATATGTTTGGTAGGCTATCGATAGGTTGAGAAACGTTTGATCTATTCTAGTCAATAGTTGCAAGGGATGCGTAACATGATGTACCCACACATGATCTGGTGAGAATGTGTGACCGAGTACCTTCAGTCGAGTGGAGTCCAGTAAAACTAATGAGGTCAGTATCGAACGTCAAAACTATATGTTCTGAGGCTTTGATTACGCTACAGCTGCTTCCAGATCGCTTACATTATTAAATATAGGTGTTCATATCAATCCTATCAGAGGTTCACGACCGTGAAATAAATGTATCTGAAATAGATAAAAGCCAGTGGTATAAAATGTTAGGATGTACTAAAGATAACCTTGGTGTGGGAAACTGTAGAGCGCGCATTATACGCTGAGGTCGTTGGGATTAAAGTAAAGAAGAAAAGTAATCTACTGAAAGTTAAGCTCAGGAAAAATTCTTTTGACAAAAAATGGTTCTTTTGTCACATAGGGATGCATCGAAAGTTCGAGAAACACAAATCACATTGGGTGCTGAACTTTTCGTTCGTAAAGCGTGCTTGCTTAATGTCGAGTTACGAACCGGAGTTGAGTCTCATTAGCCTTAAGAACCGTGATGAGTTTGATGCGAAATGTAATGCGCAGTTCGGATGCTTGTTAAATACGACTAGCCTAGAGATGATGTAATGAAACTTATGCGTAAGCAACGTCAATGTGAAAGTTGATGTAGAATATGAGGATTTAAAAACCTCGCAAAAAGACATCTGTTGGGAGCATGTTTGGGACGATATAGGCTTATCATAAAAGGTTGTTGTTAGCATAGTAGCATTTATAAAAAACCCAAAAATAGGTAATCCAAAGATGTGTCAGATACATGTTGGATCTGATATGGCTTGTCTAAAAACAATGCACACTGATAGGTGCAAACAGACGACATAAGGCTATATATATAGCTCAAATACTTTGTTACTTCTCACAACCAATATGCGTTCCTTCCCCGTATTGCCTTCTTTACATTTGGTGTTTCTGTCAGGATCAATGTAAAAGTGCCGAGACCGTTTTAGGATGAGAACTTCGAAAGCTACCTTCAGTAATAAGGTTGGAGGGTCTATCGACCTGTATTGATCCTTGTAGTTTGTAATGCCGTAGAGGTCCGATCTCGTTTTGAATATATCAACAGAAGCTGCTGATATTACGTGTTCCGGTAGGGGATTCCAGCAATTCACTACTCGATGCGAAAAACGAAACTCCAAACGTAACCGATTTGATTTCTGTTTTTGAACTTTCTTCGAACGTCCTCTCATCAGTCCTAGATGGAATTAAAAGATAAGGCATGTTAATACCAAGGTCACCTCAAGCGGTTTGAGGTGACAACGGCTTGTCGGTGTGAGACCTCACTAAGTATCCATGTAGAACTTTGCGTATCGTTCTATGTGATAGTCGTTTAAAATCAGTCTTCGTTGAGCCATATCCTGTGTTTCATTACTTAGTGTGTTTTATATATATATATATATATATATATATATATATATATATATATATATATATATATATATACTAGTTACATTTTTTCGGAAAAGCTGGACCGTCCTGTGTACTTTATTTCGTTCGGAGAGATTTATAACTGTAAACTTGTGCGAAATACACACATGATTTCTCAATTAATCTATGACGTGAGAAGAGTTAGCGCTTTTCACACTTTTTAAAATATCCTCAAGCTTAGCCTCCGTATTATTTAAAAGTATTGTTTTAGAGGTATATACGCCTTCATCGTATTTTACTTATTATATATAAACGACTGAATTTATTTTATAGGCAGTCTAATTTTGCACCTTGATGTATGTGAGTTTTAGGCATTTAATTCTCCAAACCCCTGAAAATCTACATCTTCACTTATAGATAAAAGCATTAAAATATGTTTACCTTCTGTTATTTTGTCAATATTGAGATGAATACACTTTTAAAAATTTTTTCGCAGAATAATTTTGCTGTTATCTCTACTTTCCAGTTTTGTTTACCTCATCTTGACTTTTACGATTTTTATTGTAAGGTAATTTGCTCATTTTTATTGCTAGTGTGTCATCCTGTTCTTGATTTTATTAATACATGTTCATTTCAAAGTTGGCACATAAAGGAATGGAGCTTACCAAAATTGTTAAATTGTTGGATGCATATTGCTTACCACACTTGGCCGAAAAGTGGGATAATGTTGGTCTCCTAATAGAACCTTCTATTCCACACCATGTGGACAGGATTTTTATCACAAATGATTTAACAGAACAAGTACTCGATGAGGCGATTTCTCAAAAATGTGGTCTGATCGTTTCATACCACCCACCAATTTTTTCTCCTCTTAAAAAGCTTACGCAACAGCATTGGAAAGAGCGTATAGTTGTACGTTGTATAGAAAACAAAATCGGTGTATTTTCACCACACACCGGGCTTGATGCAAAACTTGGAGGTATCAACGATTGGCTTTTAGAACCATTAGGTAAATTCAGACTAACTTAATATTGTTCTATAGCTGTCAATCGGAGAGAGAGTTTATCTCGATCACCAATTACTCAAAATTTATCCAGGTTGACCGTTGTTATGGATGAAAATTTCGGAGACTTCGTCATATCCACAGGAGTAGGAGTGTGTACAACTAATATTAAGAGGTAAGTCGTTTGGCCATCACATTATCATAATCAGTAATGCTGGAATAACAGCCATTGTTACTTGTACCGAGTTCGATTTAAAACGTGTTGTAGATGTGACGGAGGAGCTTAAAATTTCAGTCGTTAGCATCGAAAATGTTCAAAAGGTATGTGCACTATTAAAAGAATATGTTGTAGACAAGTGAAGAAGGATGTGGCAGACTGGTCACTCTACAGTTCCCAGTTCATCTAAAAGCAATTATCGCTGCCTACAAAAAGTTTCTAAACATAGGGCATTTAACTGTAGCCCCAGGACTAGGTAAAACCCTCGGTAAGATAAGTGTTTTATCTAAATTTCTCCTAATTTCATTTTTGTAAACGTTTATTTAAAGTAATTGTCGAGGGCACTTCTGGTTATCCAAAAACTGACTTGCTATGAAGAAACCGGAATCGAGAAAATTAGAGTTTTCAGGTTTGATAGAAAGCAGGCTACTCTTTTTTACTCTTTTTTGGGCTGTAATAAATGTGTACATAAAATTACCATACAAGTCTAACTTAAATATACTGATCGTCTTTAATTCCATTGATTAAAGGACCATGTCACAATGCTTATCGTTGGATTTTATGCGGAGTATCCTGCGGGAACGAATGGCGTATAAACCAATTGTTGGTCACCGGCTACCATGGGACTGCATCTCCTTACGATGCTCCACTGCCTTGTGGGTCAGACCTTCAGGTCAAAGGCTCCAGGTGTGGCCCCCTAAGAAAACCACCTACTTCGGTTTGGGCACCCGAGTAGTATCGCAGCCTTCACACATATCGAATGAGATTTGTGTGGCGCATATGTATTTGGTGCTTCCTTGGACCAATATCTATGTGTTAAAATAAAGAATAAATAATCAGTTTATTAACTTGTGTCGCTTCTGGTGCTGGTGGTGGCGAGAATAGAGTTTTCAGTAAATATCATCATTTTCATTATATTTGTGTGTGGGCTGTCATACTGCCCGGGTGCCCAGACCGGAGCAGGTGGTTTTCTTAGGGGGTCACATCTCGAGCCTTTGACCTAAAGGTCTGACCCACAAGGCAGTGGAGCATTGCTAGAAGATGCAGTCCCATGGTAGCCGGTGACCACTGGTCACGCACTTAATCAGTTGGCAATCAGCGTCCGTAGGTATGGTATGTGCTTTGTACCTTCAAAGTGCAAAGTACTTTTACAAGACTGGCAGGATTCTAGTCCTGTACTCACCCTGGATGGTGAGCAGATAGAAGTAGTCGAGAAGTTCGTGTATCTAGGTAGCTGCATAAGTGCTGGTAGTGGCCTGAGTGATGAGATCAATGCACGTATAGTGAGAACCGGAGCGGCTTATGACAACCTGGGCCATCTTTGGCGCCTTCGTGATGTTAGTCTGGCTGTAGAAGGTCGGATCTACAACGCGTTGGTAAGAGCAGTTCTGCTTTATGCTTGTGAAACCTGGTCTCTTTGAGTTGGGGATGTTAGACGACTCTCTGTGTTCAATCATCGTTGTCTCCGAAGGATTGCTGACACCCAGTGGCAACACCATGTCAGTAGTAATGCAGAGGTTCGGCATCGTATGTTCGGGCGCAAAAACGATAATGCAATTGGTGTCACCATCTTGAAACGTCGACTTCGGTGGCTTGGACATGTTCTACGAATGTCGTCCCAGATGATTGCACGTCGTGCATTATTTGCCGACTCTGGGACTGGTTGGAAGAAACGAAGAGGTGGTCAGTGTATGACATGGTGTCGTGGTATGAAAGAAAGCTGCAAAGGGCTGGCTTCTGTTGGTCCTTCACGACTTCCTGGTTGGGGTCTTAGAGATGGTGCAACACTGTGGGTAGAGACGTTATCATATATGGCTCGGAATAGAAGCCAGTGGCGATCCTGCTGTAACCTTCTTTTACTTTCATAAAAAAATAGTTGTTTCTTCCTTAACAGAAAAAATTGTCCTGATTGTACCTTTCCGTTTCCCCCATTATTACCATTATTATTATTAAACTACCTTGCACTAATCTGTTCGTTATTCTGTTTTTTCTCTTCAAATTCTCATTGTTTTGTGTGGCGCATATATATTTGGTGCCCTCCTGTACCAATATTTGTGTTCAAATAAATAAATAATCTGGTGCTGCCTACTTAATATGATTCGATATAACAATGCATGATATAATGCTGTATCAAGGAATCAACTAATAGAAAATTTAAGTAACAATAGTAATATAAGATGAATACTATGTTTTGATATCATCTATATTTATTAACAGCTGCATGAAGAATTTTAAGATAGTTTATTGACAGATGCATATGAGGCTCAGATTTACTTTTGACTAGAGCATCGACAAACATAAGTATACGCATGATCTTTTCTTGATATTTGTTTTGATGTCCATCATGTAACCCATCTAGCTGACTCAGTATATTAAAGACCGACAGTATATCATTTATGCTCATTAAATTATTTGGGCTGAACTATTTCTGTAGTCCATTCTATCTTCATTGGTTTTGAGAATTAATTTCCATCTTGTTGATATGATCCAGTACTTGTGTCATTACCGAATGAGAGTGGCTATTATCACACGTCGATATCCTTTGTTCAGGCACAATTTTACCAATTTCACAATACAAACATGAAATCCTACTGTTAATATCGAAATTCTATCGTAGAAAAATGCGTACTGTTCACCTATGTATAAAGAAAACTTTTTCCTCTTTTATCATAGTATTTAGTCAGTCAGCTACAACGTAAGACCAGGTACATATATGCATTGTTCCGAGTTGCCATACCTCATCAGCACGACAAGATTAACACCGAATTCATAGAAGTAGTTAATTCAATGGTGGTAATATATAAAATATTGTGTATCAAAATATAGTACAGGACGAAAGAATTAATTGGTAGAGAAAAAGATATAAAGCCATTTTTAATCCATCACGCCATTGTGATGGATTTTGAGTCATGTCACTCAGAGTCTCCAATCATTGGTTACGAGTATTCTGCATCTATCAACATGGCTAAGACCAGAAGTTAGTGACCTCAAGCACAGATGCCACGTTTTGGTTTGGCCACCCCTAACTTTCAACCATCCCCAACACTAATCAGCATTGCGCTTCGTGGTAATCGGTGTTCAGGCATACGTAACACGTGGCCCAACCATCTCAGTCGGTGAAGATTCATAACCTCATCAATTGAGTTACCATCATTCTCCAATAATCTGTGTCTAACCTCACTGTTACTTACGTGGTGATCTCAGAAGATGCGAGCAATATTTCGAAGACATCTGTGGTCAAATACTAGTAGCTTACGGATATCTTCTACTCTTAATGGCCATGTTTCTCGGTCGTCAAGTATAACAGCATACTTGTCGCTTAATCGATAGACGGATATCTTACCTTCGCAATAGGTGACGTAAGTTGGCAAAAGCCAAACGAGCTTTTTGAATTCATACGGAGATTTCGTCAGACACCAACCCATTAGGGCTGAACAGACTTCCAAGATAAATCATAGTATTTAAGCTCTGAACATATCTGATTTTGATATATTTCATGAGTTCCTTCATGAAAGCTTGTGAAATACTTCTAAATAAATTTTGTTGTGTTCCATTTGTGCAACTTTTATCTTAGTGAGTTGTATTAAGTTAGACGGGAATTTAAATACGCTACGTTATGTACATAGAATAGACTATGACGATAGTACCTTTATTTAGATGGTACTTAGAAATACATATTTATATAATTATTTAGTCATAACAAATGTTAATGACGGTATTTGGAGATCAGCTCTACTAGGACTTATACTTCAAGCATGAAATCATATTTGAATGTTTCGCAGTCTTTGGCACCAATATATTTTCAATGCACCTGGTCGCGTTACTCATTAATAATAAGTAGTGTAAGACATTTGTTATGACAACATTTGCCAGATCTTAGTTCTTAATCGTCCTTCATCCTACGTTTTGTTTGTCCTTGAAGCAAAAGTAGCCTTTATCAGTTCGAATATCCTAAGTTTTTCTTGTGGCATGTGAACTATGTTCATTGAAATATCGGACACATTTCTAACTTGTAAACTTCAGTCCTTTATTCCCTGGTGACTAAAACTAGATTAAAACTTGACTTGTAAGACGTTCACTTCCACAACTTAATGTTAGTTCCAACATTATTCTACTGTAGAATCATATGTAAAACTGCTGTTGCGTTTTATATAAATTTATGAACTTTCTGTTTGTATCTTTACAAAAGAAAATTGCACTTGACCATCAGTTTATTTATTTATTTGAACATAAATATTGGTACAAATGGGGCACCGAATACATATTCATTACACAAGTCACTTGTTTTGTGTGTGGGCTGTGGTACTGCTCGGATGCCTAGACCGGAGCATGTGTTTTTCTTAGGGAGGCCACACATAGAGCCTTCGACCTGAAGGTCTGATCCACAAGGCAGTGGAGCAACGTCAAGAGATGCAGACCTATGGTAGCCGGTGACCAACAATAGGTTCATACGCCATTTGTTCCTTCAGGATCCTGGAGCCCATATGCACCATTGGTTTGAAATCAAGGTTTTCCAGCTCCCCTAGGTGGACTCTCCATGTCCACCAACCCGGTTAAAGTGCCGGATATTCGCTTTTTGTCCTCTCGATTTCGTAAACAACACCATCGCAGCGAGAAGGCAGTGGGTAGGACTTCCCTGGCAGTGGTTGTATACACATGACCATGTGAGAACATCTAACAAGAGTAGTTCTCACTGACATCAAGTACATGCTTCTTATTTTCATCGTGTTTGCGATCACAGGTTAGTATGAAAGGGAGGTGTTATAGGTTGTAAGTAGATAATTGATGTTATTACACCTAATCTGCTTAATGCTCATGTTCTGTTTCAGCTTTTTCTCCTCTTCACTCCTATTTAATCCATAGTTTTAAATATTTTTTAATCCTTTTTCCTGCATTTCCTTGTTGTACATTGATATTGCTTAGATTTTTCTAAGTTACCTGTTCCGTAATTTTGTGTACAAAGAGTAAGTAAAAATCCTAAATGCTACTCATGCAATCATATTTGTAATTGATCTATGAGTGAATAATCAAACCTACCTTCTGATTACTTAAAGTACCCATTTATCCATAGGAAACAAATTCTGGTAAAATGAGATATAAAAAAGTTGAGGCTGCTACCGGATCACGACTTATTTCCATTCTGATATTTTTTAAGTTACTGAGTGCATTATCTTCACTAATTCAATCAAGGGTTTGTGATAGCTTGTCAGATGCTAGTGATTTACGACTATCTTCTAGACGACGGCTCCGTGTCATAAACGGACCACCTCTCCTATCCACTATTTTAAAAAAGCCTCACTACGAATCTTCTCTATTCGTAAAAATCTGATTATTAGGTCAGCTGTGTTTCTCTTTGGAATGTTCCCCTATCTTTCGGAGTATACAGTGGAAATATTAAAGCATAAATGAATAATAAATAGGCTTGTAAATTGTAGTCGGACTAACCCAGTCAATTCACGTTCATAATTTGTGACACCTAATTTACGTGGCCTAAGTAGAACCATACACTTATTTCCTGAGTGATTAGTTCGGTTTTCATATTACTCTTAACAGTACTGAAAGGGTACCGCTGGTCTAAAACAAACTTTTCCATGTTGCCGGCCTTCATTGACCATATCTTATTGTCTTATGCAGGACACAACATATTATTTCTTCATGTCATGGAATTTTACCAACTGTCGTCTGATAACTGAATGACTTAATGCTTATTCAATCCCAAGTTATATGAGGCGTTTTTATATAGTGAGTACTGTACCGAAGCTGCTACCTTGACGCGGTGGTCGGGCTTGCCTATCGTGATGACCCAACCGAGCTATACTGGCTGGAACATATGTTCCTGTAGGTTCTACCATGCCAGGCAGGTCGATTGGTGAACGGTAAGACTAAAAGCAGCAACTCAAGGTCTGAGGGCGAAGTCGTACTGCTGACTGTAAAGAGGTGTGACAGCAGTAAGGTGTTTCCCTCAAACAACCAGCATGACAGCAATGCTGCCTTCCCACAAGGAGGGGTAGGGTTAGAAAAGGTCGACCCTAAAAATGTCACACCTCACCTTACCTCACGGATTTCCGTCTCCGGCGGTAAGGCCCTTTGAAGAACGGAGCTAACACGTCAAAAACCTACCACAAAAAGGCCGTGCGCGACCGGCCTCAAGCAGTTGTCCCTTGGGCTCTGTGGTCACGCTCACAGGTCGTCAAGACCAACACTAATGCAATTTCCTTTTCAGGTTCCTCAAGAAATACCCTTCCACGGTGTGGGCAGCCGAGAAGTGACATCAGCCCTCATACCCGTAACAGCACACGAGACCAAGTTGGTCACATTCAAATCCTTCCTACACCTCCTAATACCTCTCTTATCTCCATGACTAACCCTCCTCATGTCTTTATCACATCGCACCGCTAGGGCAAACGATTCGAGTACGTGGAACTCGATTCCTGGTCTCCTGAAACCACGCTCTAAACTACACGTAGGAGCTTTTAACGTCCGAATACTGTGCCAAATAGGACAACAGGCTTCCTTAGCTAGGACTTTAGAATCTCGCGCCATCGATGTGTGCTGCGTCTCCGAAACGCGCATACAGGATCCAAGTAGCGTCATTCATTTGACCTCACCATGCCAAAATAAAGAACCGACTCGATTTACACTTCGTGTATCTGGAAGCCCTGATTCCGCTTCCCGTGGACTCGCTGGCGTAGGCATAGCATTGAGTCCCAGAGCAGAATTAGCTCTCTTAGAGTGGATCCCAGTAGACAGCCGTTTGTGCGCTGTCCGACTGAACGGAACAGTAAGAATCCGGAAAGATAGGGACACCCGTCGTTGCCTCTTCGTCGTTTCTGCCTATTCTCCCACTGACTGCAGCTCAGATGACGTAAAAGATGAGTTTTACAGAAAGCTTTCCGACGTTCTCCGAAAAGCTAGGCGCTATGATGTAGTAATAGTGGCCGGTGACTTTAATGCTCACGTAGGTAAACTAAGTGATCCAATCATCTTTGATGTAGGACCTAGTACGAATGCTTATTAGTCCGATCTACCGCACGTCATATTAGCACAGAGAAAAAGGAAATTAGAAAGATGCAAGCCAAATGATAGAAAAATATACCAGTTTTAGTTAGTATTTAAGCATGAGAAATGTAGTACAGAAGGAATTTATCTCAGTCATTTCCACGAGGATTTATTTTTATTATTTCATGCTTTTTAACATCCTGGAAATCCTGCTTTAGCCTCCTGGTATTTTGTTAACTATCAATCATAACATTTATTTACCGTAATAATAGTAATAATAATAATAATTGTTGTTGTCATTCAATAGACTGTCCAATTAAAACAGTTGCTGTATGTGCTGGTTCCGGTGGGTCGCTTTTATGCCAAACACCAGCTTCATTTGCTGCCGATTTATTTATCACTGGAGAATTATCTCATCATGATCGTCTTGAGGCTGTTTCTCGTGGTATTTCTATTATTTTAGCTGGGCATTCTGTTACGGAAAGAGGATTTTTCAGGGAAAGATTTATCCCAGACTTTCGTCATCTTTTGTCAACTGTACATAATGCTGGTGAAATCCCACACTTGGAATTGTTATTATCCGACGCAGATCATGAACCAGGTTTTGTCGTTTAACAAATTGTTATTATATTTGTGCAATTTTTTAGCATTCGACGTGTTACAACAAATATTTTTAATGGTTTCACTACTTTTTTCCATTTCCTTCTTAATACTGGATATTATTGGTCTATTACCAACTTGTAAAATAAACCATAACTATCATCCGATTTATTCTCAAATTTCAAATCATTGTTCCTTTTGAGTGGAGTTTTGTTCTCTGAGCTGGATGGTTTGGTCGTGGAGCTTTCATCGTTCTTGTAAAGGACATGAGCACAAACTTCAAATAGACCTGATTCGATGCACCTATTTATAAATTCAATAGTAGTTTTCGTTTCAGTGAACTTTACGTTAGACTTCAGGAACTCATTGAGCACCTTCAGCGCAATGGGTTGTTCATAACATTTTAATCGTTTAAAGATCCCCGTCATATTAAAAGACTAGTATTTGAACGAAGAATATTCTTTTCGATAAATTCTCTTCAGGTTCTACAATTATATATCAAATTAATAATCCGAAAAATGACCAGGTTAAGGGCAAAGTATGTCGTTAAAAGCATGTGGATTTAGGATTGTGATAAACCCATCTACTTAGATTGTATGGATTACCAAAGGTGCACAAACCGGGGATCCCATTAAGACCTATTTTAGATATGTATAACTCTCCTTACCATACTATAGCTAAATGGTTGGTAACTGTATTGAAACCTCTACACGATAAGCTTGTAAAATATAGTGTTAAGGATGTGTTCCAATTTATTGATAAAATCAAAAATGCAAATAGGTTGGGACTAAAGATGATGTCATTGGATGTAACATCGTTATTCACAAACGTCCCACTCATAGAGACTGTAGAATATATAGGTGAACAGCTGATGGAAAATGAAATTGAAACTACTGTCCCTATTAATGTCGTGAAAGAGTTATAACTCAAATGCACAATGAATGTGAATTTCAAGTTCAACGGTGAAATATATAGACAAACAGATGGTGTTGCAATGAGTTCACCACTGGGCCCTATACTAGCTGATATTTTTCTAGCCAAAATGGAAAATGGTCCACTAAAAAAGATTATTCAAAGCTTCAAATTTTACTTTATATACATGGATGACACGTTCATCCTCTGTAAAGATAATACGTCGCTGCAAGAGGTTCTTAGGCGATTTAATGAAGTGCATCCAGTCATTCAGTTTACATCTGAAGGGAGTGACGGCCGAATAGCCTTTTTGGACGTTCTCTTGACTAAGAGAGCGTATAGATCGTTAAAAAGGAACTTAAACAGAAAAAGTACATGAACTGGGCAGTATACGAAATTCCTGAGCTTTGTACCTCTACAGTACAAACGAAACTTGATCAAAAACCTTAGTTACCGTATTCGCACTATATGTTCTGCTGATATAGTCGAACAAGAGCTTAACACCTTGCATAATACTCTCAGGGAGAACGGCTACCGTAGAAAGTTTATACTTAAACATATGTTCACGAAGGCGAAATACAAACAGTGAAGAAGAAATCCCTGTTCATGTGTCTACAATTCAGAGGCGATGCGGCTAGTGAAATATTAACTCAGAGATTACCTAGGACAATGCAAAAGTCTTTTAACGCAGGAGAACTGCGATTAGTTTTTTCTACGCACCCAGTGGTGACACAGGCTAAAAAATGAATTAGCTAGAATGACCACCTCATTTTGTATTTATCAGTTCGACTTCTCCTGTGGAGCAAGTTATGTTGTTCGAAGTTCTAGGAATTTACATTTTCGTGCTCGTGAGCACCTTCCAGCGTGGCCAAGCAAAGGTTTGATGAAGAAGGTGAACATCTCAATATTGGCCCATTTAGTACAAATCGGTCATAATGCCAGTATAAACCAATCTTTTTCAATTATTTATAAGGTAAGTAATTTTTTGCCAAGATTGGTCAGACTGAAAGTCCTTCAAACGGCTGAAGCAGTAGCCATCCGGATGAAGAAACCGGAGCTATGCGTACAGAATAAATGTATTCAACCACTCCTCCTCTCCTGGCCAACATCAAGGCCAATTAATCAATCGTGATCTTAACTATTGAATGACCTAATTTGACGGTTTTAATTATCCTCACGGCAATTTTTTTAATCCCCCCATCCTTTAAAAAAAATTTTCAACCCCAAAATTACAATCTTTTTCATCCCGTTTCGTCCAATGAAATGGCTAGTTCTAAAATTTGTTTTAATAAGTTAGCTATGTCTTGTCAAATTGTTATAAAACATCAGTACATGTCGACGAAGTACATTTTAATCATCATTATGGCGGAGAGTAACGTGCCGAGTATAAGCGCTGTTGTTTCTCACGTAACAGAAATAGAGGAAGTCTTTTTGACAACCATTTTTTTGGATTTTTAATTTGAATATATAATTGTAGAACCTGAAGAGAATTTCGAAAAGATTATTCTTCATTTAAATACTAGTCTTTTAATATGTCTTATGTATCTACTCTCCTGCTTCTAAATACTGAAAACATTAGTTCTGATCTGTGTTTCAATAGCTGTCATAAGACGACGATTTCTTGATCCACTGTGTTATGTGCTTTTCTGACATACACAAAATAATATACTGAGTAGATGAAGTAAACGTCTTTGATTGTTATGGAAAGTTAGTTAGTCTACAACATATATTCTATCAAGTTTGTTTCTTGATTATTTGAGTAGTTGACATTAGCTGTTTTGACAATGTCCACCAGTTGTGCCCTAGTTTTTAACAGTTCGTCAAATAAACTCAGTCTGTGACGAAAAATATCTCTAAAGCTAATCATATATAGCTAGGTGTAAGTATAATTGGCCAAAACGATTTACTGAGCAATAGTTTTCAATGTATAAATAGGAATCACACTGAAATTATCTTACTTTTGTCTAAAAGATTCAAAATGTGGCTACTGTTAGTGAGAAAATGGGTTTTTATAGAAGCTGAGTCTCTTTCAGAAAAGTTTGAAATCTTTGTTCAAAATTAAAAAAGCGAATTAATATCTCTTATTTCAACCCAAATCAAGGCATAAAATTGTGTTATTCTCGAATTATGTAGTTTCGTAGGTTGGGTGAAATCTAGATGTGACATCAGTTCATTTGAACACTTATCATTGGACTGAACCATACAGGTAGATGCGGACTACTTGGTCGATGTCCACGTAATTATCACAACCAGTGGTTAGACTTTAGGTGCACTTACTATTTGTCTTACCTTTGAACGAGATGTTCTAAATTGTCTTGTAAATTTTCTTCATTCGACTAGTCCATATTCCCTCAAATTCTATCGGTTATACCTAGTTTTTTCTATCGCCACTAAACCTGTTACTACATACACTATGGGATTCATTCTGACAGTTTCATCTCTTTGTGATAAATTGACCCGATATACGTATGTGCCAGGTTTTACGCTGTTTATGACTGACTCACTGAGTTATTTTAGTTGCAGATTTGTGATCAACTTTATTGACAATAGCTTCAGGTCAAATTTAGGAAAAAGTGACCATTTATGGGTACAGGTAGTGTTAATAACTAAATGTACACTGAAAAATTAATACATCTCTCATTTTTAATTAATCGACGATATGATTAACAGAATTCCAATAAATGTTCTTTTGGCTAATACACAAAATCTGTGTGAAAATCATCCATTATGTAAACGTAATAGGTGGTATACGTTTAATCAAAATAACAGAATAGTTCATATATATATCAGCATACACTTGATATTTTGCCAAATTATTTGTACAAGACTTTTCAAGGGATAAGACATTTTCACTGAAATATATATTAACTTAGATGATCGATTCTTCTTATTTCGTGTCATTAAATGCGAACATGGTTGTAATCATATGACAGTAAGTACTTTTAATGCAATACTCTCATATAGTAAAACGATCGATCAATCTATGAACTTATGCCTCAGGCATTTGACAAATATATATGTTGTGAAAATCTTGTCTAATTAGACATGTGATTGTGTTAAGATTAAACTGATGTTAGAAAAAAAATGGTAGCTGAACCAAAGCACTACATTAATACAGTAATTCGCTTATCAGGATATGTGGGATTTATACTAATTTGTAATTAAAGGTACTAGTTGATATTGCTGGAATCGACCATAATAACCTTAGTTTTATTTGTTTGTATCGTTTCGTATCTGTAATAGCATCACTATTCTTATTTTTACACCAATTTTATTCTTTCACCGCAAACTGTTAGAGATTTTATCTTGGTATGCGTTTATGTTGTAATCTCGTATATATTTGTTTACGCTTAAGAAGTTTCATAATTCTGTCGAAAATAGTTATTTCGAATATTTTAACTTATTGTACATCAGTGGTCCAGTTGGTTAAGCGTTTGCGCGCGAGACCGAAGGCCCTGGGTTCGAATCCCGCTCGCGGGATCGTGGATGCGCACTGCTGAGGAGTCCCACAATAGGACGAAACGGCCGTCCAGTGCTTCCAGGTTTTCAATTGTGATGGTCTAACATCAATTGGTTCATGATCTCAATCAAAAACTTAATAATCTCCACAACTCCTATACTAGTTATTGTACATCATTTATAATTATAAGCTTTTTTACATATTTTTGTTTTTCACTGAAATGTTCTTTCTCACAAAACTATTTCGAAAAAAACACTTTTTCTTACCTAATATTTTCAATTTCTTTTATGTTTCACATTTAAGAAAGTTCTTATCCTATAAGAGAGTCGGAAAACTGTTCAGTGTATTACCACAACGAGAAATATTGTGTATATTTTATAGTCTATCGCCTGATTTGAAGTAAATGATATGGCTGAGTGAAGAATTTTCACAAAACTGGATCAGTCGATGTGACAGTTCTCCCCACAATAAACAGATTTTGTATAAAAAGTAAACGGTTGTCGAACTTTAATTCCACTTTAATTCTTATTATTATTTCAAGTCCTGAAGTAAAACTGCATTTAAACAGTGAATCACATCATAAACATGGTTAGGTTGTTCTCATGAAACTACACTTTGTCAACGTATTCACCAAACATGACTA